GCGCGCTCGCCTGGCATGCGTGCGGCCCGGGTTCGATCCTCAGCACCACATACCAACAAAAGATGTTGTGTCCGCTGAGAACTAAAAAATAAATACTAAAAAAAAAATTAAAAGTTTCTCTGAAGGAACCAGAGCTTCATGTATGCAGTGTACCCAGTTGAAATCAGCCCCTAGAAGGCTCCATGGGGCAATTTGAAAACCACTGGTCTAGATCAATAATGCTTTTTAAAAGTTAGTGAGCACAGGAATCACCTAGGATGTTGTTAAAATGCAGATTCTAATTTTGTATGTTTGGGATGGTTCTGAGGTTTGGTTTGGTTTTTGTTTTGTTTTCAGTACTAGGGATTGAACCTAGGTGTGCTTTATCACTGAGCTACATCCCAGCCCTTTTTATTTTTTGTTTCGAAACAGGATTTTGCTAAGTTGCCCAGGCTGGCCTCCAATTGTGATTCTTCTGCTTCAGCTTCCCAAGTAACTGGGTTTACAGGCGATGCTAATGCTTCTGTCCATGGACCACACTTTTGAGAAGCAGTGGTCAGAATACAAAAATCCATGAGCTCAAGGATCTTAGTTCCTATAAACATTTAAAGTAATAAATTGACATAATTTCTTATATCAACTTCTCCATCTCATCAGTCATACTTAAGCAATTATCAATAATGAAAACACAGTAAATGAAGACAGCTAGAAGTTTCTGAACTTGCAATCCTACCAGACTCTGCAGCAAGGTATCATATTACATCAGCAGTGATGAAGCAAGGGAGAGTGACAAGGATACAAAATGACCCATTTAAACTCAAACATATACCATCTAGAGAAACTACTGAGTACTTCAGACAACACAGGAAAAAAGATTTCTAAAGACCTTTCAAAAGAGAGTGGAATTAATAAAAATAAACACAGTGCTAGCTACTGCTTGTCCTATATAACACATACAGCAGGGGAAGGGAATGTAGCCTTATTGTGTTTTACCTCCAGGTACTGTTTAGCATGCAGAAGGAAGAGAAGAAAATCAACCAATGAAAAACAGATGTAAGGGATTACTCAAAGAAAGAATTTTTTTGGAGGGGGAAGAGGTGCTGGAGATTGAATCCAGATTGAGTGATTTACCACTCAGCTACATCCCAGAACATTTTTTTTATTTTTTCCTATTTTGAGACAGGAACTCATTAAGTTGCTAAGACTGGCCTTGACTTATAGTCCTTCTGCCTTAGCCTCCTGAGTTGCTAGAATTACAGGTATGCATCACCACACTCCCCTCCAAAAAAGAAATTTTTGAGGAAAGGATTCTATAAGGACTATAGGATCAATTCAAGAAGACAGTATAAAAGGAGCCCAACGGTCCAAGCCTGATGGTCCAAACTGCAAACTCCCATCTTAGAAAATTGAGAGAATGCTCCAAGGCCATAAAGAATGGCAGACATGACAAGAAATAGAACGTAAAAATTATTTTATACAGCATCATACAGTGACAAGGCATACAACAAATTAGAAGGAATCCTTTTGAGATTCACCCCTGCCATGCAAAATTGGATATACCTCTTCTTGAACCCAACAGAGGCAAAGAAAATCTACTTTGTAAAGTAGTGAAAATCTACTTTGTAAAGTCTAAAATGAAACAGGGTCTTAGAATAGCTGCCTTCCTACAACAACCCCAGGGCATCTATTACTCCCTTTCCTTTCATTCACTCTTTACCTACCTGCTTTAAATGTTTTTTCAGCTCTAATGATTCTGGCTCTGGCAGGATGGGGAGCAATTCTGCATTGGTTGGGGTGATCACCTGTATCAGAGAAAAGATAAAAGCAAGACCTTAGAATAACTAATCAGAAGTTTCACTTCCATAAGGGTAAAGAAGATAATAGGAATATTTTATGTGTATAATATTATCACATGTTACACACACACACACACACACACATCTGAAAAAAATATATACCTAAATGTTATTGGTGACTAGATAATAAGGTTACAGTTCTTATTTTTTTCTCTTCATGTATTTTTGTTTTCCAATGAACACTTATAAAGTTTTTCTAAAGTTTTAATGTACTCATGCTGCAAAATGTAAATATAATGTTTTTTTAAGTCTGCCCTGAAAGGGCCATTTCTTACTGGAAATCATATCCCAGGAAAAGCATCAGGAGATCTACACCATATAATGATACTTGGGCCAGGGCTCTATCTCAGTGGCAGAGCACTTGCCAAGCACGTGTGAGGCACTGGGTTCAATCTCCAGCACCACATAAAGATAAACAAGTAAAATAAAGGCATGCTGTCCATCTACAACTACAAAAAAAAAAAAAAAGCTCTTAGAGAATGCTGGAAGAGCACTTAGTTCTGGCAAAACTAAATCCTTTAAATCTAACCATGGGCCTATCCTGACAATAAATAAAAGCAGCATGAGTAAAAGTTGTTTTAACGAGTATCACAACAGAAACACCTAGAAAAACGGGTATCACAGGATTGGGTCTAGAACCTAATCTTATTCTACAATGCCTCAGCCAGAACCTTACCCTATTGCTGTCCAGATCCACTAGCCATACGTCATCAGGCATTTTGAAGTCTAGTTTGTAGAGGAAGAAGCTGGCAGGGACCCCAATGATGTAGGGGGTTGGGGCCAACAGCAGCTGTAGAAAGGATAAGAAGATAAGAATCAAAGTTCAAACCTATTATGAGCACTTATCAAGTCAGGATTTTTCTAGATAAGGAAATATAGACTCAAAATCCTGTTTTCAAAACCCTTAAGCTGGTCTGGGGTTGTGACTCAATGGTAGAGCGCTTGCCTAGCATGTGTGAGGCACTGGGTTCAATTCTCAGCACCGCATATAAATAAATGAATAAAATAAAGGTTCACCAACATCTAAAAAATTAAAAATAAAAAACCCCTTAAGCTACTTGTATTTTAAAATTCAGAACTTTTCAGATTTTAGAAAGGCAAAACAACGTATTTTCTGTTTATTATGTTATACCTACAGCAGTGTAGCCGATAGTCTATAATCATTAACTGTGATTATGGAATTTTTTCTTTTTTGCAGTAATGGGGATCAAATACAGGGCCTTGTGCATGCTAGGCAAGTGCTCTACCACTGAGCTACATCCCCAGCCTTTAACTCTGATTTTAAAGAGAAGAAATAAAGAAATTATAAATAGCACAGGTTTTGTCACTAAGTCAGTTTAAATCCATCAGTCATAGACAAATAAATTATAAGAGATTGAGGACCAGTATTGACTGACAGCTTCTTTGGGCATTGATACAGGTTACAAAGCTAGAAGACACCTTGAGACTCACCTGCTCTGCCGATGCCATGCAGGTGGGAAGCAGTGGGATGACAGGAAACATGTACTCTAGGGGGTAGATCATTGCCACAAATGCCATCACAGACATAGAGAGAGCATTGTAGTCTCGGGACTGTAGCACCACCTGCAACAGCCACACCAGCAGAGTCATCAACAGCATAAAATCAGGTTGACAAGCTTTTGTAGCTTTCAATACTACAATTTAATTCTCTCACCACGTCTATAGCTGCAGCTTAGCTTCCACAATCATCTCTGTCCCATGTGCTACCGTGTCTGCCACCTCCCTAACTAAGCACTGAAGTAACCTTTACTAGAATCATTACCTTCCTAGTTCTTTTGCTCCCTCCCTATCCCAAAAGTGGAACAGGACTACTGATATTTCCTGAGAATTAAGTCAGTGTAATTAAGGATAATTCAACTGAGTGACAAGCCTCTGAAAACACCCTACATGATACCAGTACCTTAATTCAACCCATATCTAATGAATACCTGCCATACATCTGGCATTGTTATTCCTAGAAATGAAAAGATGAAAATATCAGTCCCTGTCCTCAAAGAGCTCATTCTTTAGCCTCTGCCACAGTGTCAAGCTCTTTCCCTAGAAAGTCTGTGCAGCTGGCCCTCTCACCTTGTGCTCCAACAGGATGCAGGTTAGCACCTGAAGACAAGCATCTACACCCAGAAGTTCCAAGGGAAGGTGCAGAGGGAAATCCACTAGGGTGAATCGAGAAGGGTCTGGAAGAGCAAAGGTCAAAGCTGGCTGGAGCTCCTGGGGTAGGACTTCAATGTCTACTCGCTTCTGCCCAGAGACAGGTACTGGGGAGCGCAGCAATCGATAAATCCAGGCCTCGATCTCTCGAAGGTCATGCAGAAGGGCACTTGACTTCTCTTCCACTAGCAGTGATCCAGTAAAGATACGCCACATGGTGTCCCTAAGGAGCACACAGCAGCTGTCAGACATAAGCATTAAGAGCTGATACCTCATTGCAACCCAATATAACTATGGAGGGTATAATGACAACTGGAAAAGGACTATCATTAGGAAATCCCACTCTTTGAGCTCCATTGGGACCAGAAGCTATTTATATAAGGGCAAGAACAACTGTAAAATGCATAGGTAGTAGGACTTAATGACATGCCCACCATAAAACATCAAACTCCTCGGTATTATTCCAAGCCCAATTATGATAGGAGGTTCAGCTCGGCAGCTGTCTTCTGCTTAGTTAAGGGTAATGTGTTTAAATAGGTTTAAAGCGCCTGCATAGGAAATTTCCCACAGACCAATTATAACTAATCTCTAACCACTTCCCCCTCTTCTGAGCAAGAGCAGCAAACTGTACCTTTGTATACCTCGAGGGATGCCCAATTTCTTGCCCAGCAGCCGTTCACTACAGCAGTCCACCAGCCGTTTGAGGGTATACAGACACTCTCGGAAGGTGGAGAAGAAAGGGTAGTGGCTGAGCACACACAGGGATGTCAGAGTACTGTTGCGGGACCTGCTGCCTGCCTTGGCCCGGCGTTTGCCCCGAGGAGACAGGTTCACATCGGGGGTGGAGTCAGCACTAGGAGGCTGCAGGGATGAGCCACTCTCTGAGCTTTCTGTGCCAACCTCTTCTGAAGCACAGGTGGCACCAGTCCCTTCCTTCCCACGGGACCCTGCCCCGCCTTCCCCCTTTTCCTTAGGCATTCGCTTTTGGAAGGAGCGGTAGAAATTAACACAGATGCCATAACGTGTGACACCAGTGTCCTTGTCAGTGAGGGTGAAGACAAAGGAGGTATCATCCCGAAGGCTCATGCGCCGCTGCCGCACACTCAGACAGCCCTCTGGCTGGCAGAAGAACACTACATCTGGAGGCAGGGGAAACTCAGGGTGGTCCTCTAGCGGGTATCGCCGTAGCAATTCAGGAGTCTGGGCCACACTGTCACTGCTCGGGTGCCTGAAGAATATAAAGACAAACTCAGCAGCCTGAAGAGATAGAACATGCTATCAAATTTTAACCACAGTCAACAAATAAAGCTCAGAATGTCCTTGTGGATAAAGTAACCCAACTGTAGGACCTTGGAAAACATTTAGTGGGCAGGCTGAATGCAGTCTGCACTGTCATGAAGACACACACCTATCCTGAAAAAAAAAGTTTCAACAATAAAATGATCACTAACACCTTATGACAACACCTTTCAAAGAGTATTAGCTAATGAATTACCAAAAGAGTATATGTAGGTAGATTAGGAGTGCAATGTACTTTTGCTTTTTATAAAATAAGAAAATTCAGATATAAAAAATTATATTTGCTCAAAATCACAAAGATGCTAATTAAGAACAGAGTTTTGCTCTGTTTCTGTCCAGACCAACACTCTGGATCTATTCAATGTGTTGTTTTCCCTGTGGGCATCAATGCTCCCATAAGGGTAAAATAAAAGGAAAAACTGAGATATGCAAAGCAACACGGAAACAGAGAAGAAGAATTGCATATTTTGTGGCTATCCCATATGACAAAACAAAGATATCTCTTCTTGGTTACCTGGCCCCTACGATCACTAGATAGTCAAGTAACCGGGGACAGAACTTCTTCTTTTGCACCATGGTTCCAATTCATCAGTTCATCTCAGAGAAACTTCAGGGCACCAAGCAAGGAGTCGCATTCCCAGGAAGAATTCTGTTATTATCTGATAATCCAAGTCTAATAGGAAAAAAGGACTGATAAGATTTCATTGCTGTGCCCGAGTGAATTATCCCTCTGGCAACTTCATCCCAATCAGGGGCACAGGTCAGAAGAATTTCCACTTTAGTACTAAACACAGGAGAACTTGACACTTGTCTAGCCTAGTGTCTAGGCTTATGAGTTCACAGAGTCAAATGACTAGTAGGATAAGGAGCTGGGGATTAGTTCAGCGGTAGAGTGCTTACCTAACGGGGCCAAGGCCCTGGGTTCAATTCCCAGCACCTAAAAAAAAAAAAAAGAAAGAAAAGAAAAAAAGAGGAGAAGGAGAAATAATGGCTCCTGTCCCCGTCACTATCAAGTGTGGCTCATTTTCAGTCTAGCCCCTGGGGCTCTGTTTCTGAAAAACAGACCTGGGCAGTGTAATACTGACTCAGTCATTATGATAACAAAAATTAAGTCACTTTCAGGACTGCTCCAAGGATGATTGGGATCAAACCAGACTCTTCAATCAGCACTAATCTGTATTTCTAGGTCTAGATGGAAACCTAATTATTCTGTTTCAACAATCCTCATTTAGCTTGATGAGAAACTACCATATAGACTGTCTAGTTAATTGCACTCAGACAATAACAACAGCTGGCTATTCTAGCTCATGTGATCACAGATGAAGAATGTCCATACCCCAGCTGCCCCATTTCAACCATTTTTCTCCCCCATCAAGCAAGAAAAGGGCCCAGTGGCCATGGCTACTGGCTCTGCCCTTGGTGCTGAAGCATTTACTCTCTATTCTGGTCTCAAGATCAGACTCAGTAATACAATACATACAGATGAGGCCTTATTCTACTCCTTTTTTTAAAAAAAAAATTAGTTGTAGATGGACACAACATCTTTATTTAGTTTATTTTTTTATGTGGTGCTGAGGATCGAATCCAGCACCTCCCATGTGCCAGGCAAGTGCTCTATCACTGAGCCACAGCCATAGCCCTCTACTTTATCTTATAGAAATTATGAATTAAGTGTGACATGCTAGGATTTCTCCAGTTTCAAGGAAGGATGTTCACAGGAATTCCTAAACTATAGTTCTAAAATTAGGAAAAGTTGCCAGGCACAATGGCACATGCCTATAATGCCGGCGCTCAGGAGGCAGGAGGATCACAAAAACAAAGCCAACCTCAGCAACTTAACAAAGCCCTAAGCAACTTAGTGAGACCCTGGCTCAAACTAAAAATAAAAAGGGCTGGTGATATATCTTGGTAGTTAAGTACCCCTGGAGTCAATCCCTACTACCAAAAATAAAAATAAATAAATAAAAAGAAAGAAAGAAAAGAAAATTAGGAAAAGCTTACATGATCCTAATTATCTGTTATTTCCTATTGAGTCTCCATATACTTCTCTAAATAAAATGTTTCATTCCACTACAAGGTAATTCCAGTGCTCCACAATTTTGCCTTTGCTCTGCACACAGTCACACAGAGAGTCCCATTACACTACAAAACTCACACACCACTCCTTCATCTGCTGCTGTGTGCACTCCCATACATATAGAAACACACACACCCCCAGTTTGCTTAACGCCCTATTTGGTTTAGATTATGAGTAGAAGTTCTATCTTTTTCTCCCCTACCTAATAATAAACAAGACCTAGTTGCAACGCCTCACATCCTCAAAATATTGCTTTTTTCTCTTGCTCCCAATGCAGGACCTACAGGTAATAGGATTCAGTTTTATCTCCATAGTGACTCTTGCTCCTAGCACTATTTATAGAAGAGTTACAGCCCCTCCCCTGCTTGGTGACCGCACAGTGCTAGCAGCTGCTACTCCAGAGCCACCAGAGCCCATAACAATTCACTCTCCGTAAACCTAGAGACACCTCTTCCATGACAGCACCTGCTAAAAATTAGGTTATCTTTTCCCTTGTCTGCCACTAGTCTGCACTTTTCCACAATTCTGGCTTTTGATAGAGATATCCCCTCATCACCAAGTTCCCGAGAATGTCATACACTCACTCATTTCTGGGAATCACTAGTGTTTAACAACCCCAAACAGTCCTTTGGTTCTCCCAACTGCTGGAGTCATGAGCATACTCCAGAAGGTGGGGCATTATTATATAGCTGAGTTCAGCTCCTCCTAGGCAGAATGAAAAAGGCAGAGAAATGGAGAAATGAAATGGGATGTGGATAAAAACAATTCATTCTATAAAGAAATGTGTAGAAATGTTTATAGAGTAAAAGACAAAGTATCTTAAAGTAAAATAGAATTTAGCTGGTGGCTTGGTGGCACAAGCCTGTAATCCCAGCGGCTTAGGAGACTGAGACAGGAGGATCAAAGCCAGCCTCAGTAACTTAGGAAGGCCCTAAGCAACTCAGTGAAAAAAAGTAAAACAGAATTTACCAGACTGGAATTCTAGGTTAAGCTATGAAATATAGGTTTACATAGAAAACCATAAGATCTTTGTGGCTAAGATCTCATCCATCAGGCCTGAAACATCTCCTACTACTAATTAGACATAGGGCCTCTATAGCCTTGGTGAAATACCAGGTCCTCTCCACTGAGAACCATTTGAAAAAACTCAAGTCATTATCACGTTCTATAGTTCTCATCTCCTTCAGCCACAAGGGCTCTGAGATCTGTGATTATCCACATCTCAGCAACAACCATTGCCTTCAGTATTCAGATTGCAAAGATAAAAGCTTTCTTCTCATTCTCTCCTCTCACTCTCTTTTCCACAGACTTTAAAATTTCTACCACCATCTATAACTCAAACTCTATCTTCAAAATAGGCTAGGACTCCACCTCTTGCCTCAACCCTACTTGCTAAGGCAGAGCACCAAGCTCCCATCTCCATATAATCCTAAGGCATCAATTCAAAACATATATCTTTCTATCCTACATGACCAACATCTAGAATCCACAATCCTTTAGGTTATCCATGCCTTTTCAGCCTAAAATGGCCATGCTAACCAAACGTTTAGATTTGTCCTTCGGTTTGGGCAGGATCTCATAGTAAAACCACAGGAACCCCGAGGGCGATATGACATCTTTGCTGACGTGAGCACCTCCTCTCCTCCCCCTCCCCAGGCAGTGACCTTGCAAGCTCATCAGCACAGACTGGTCCAGCGTGAGGGAGAACTGGAGCAATGAGGCCGGCGATAGGCAGGGTTGGGGAAGAGGGGAGGGCAGGAAAAGAAGCAAGAATTGAGATGCAGGAGCCTGGAAAGGGGGAGCAGTTGCAGGAGAGATTAAATGGTGCCTCCACTCTCCCTACTCTCCAGCAAGTCAATTTTGAAGCATCAAGTTCAAAATATACACACATATATTTTTGAATGTATTTATTTTAAAGAAACAAACGTGGCTCTCCAAATCCTCAACAGAAATAAGGCACACGCACTCACACACGCGCACAAGCACACTCATGCCAGGAGCGAGTGCCGGCTGGGACCCGGGCTGGACACTTCTGCCCGCCCCCTCACCTGCTGGACAGTTCCCCACCCCCGCCCCGCAACCAGCGCCGCCCGCAAGGCAGGAACCGAGCGGAGCTGCTCTCATCCCGGAGCCCGCACCCCCTCGGCGGCCGGAGCGCCCACACCTCTGGCCGCTGCCCTTCCTCCTAAGACTCCCCAGTCCCTCTGGACATCCATGACCCTTTACCTTCCTTCAGTCCTTCCTCCGAGACCCTTTCTTCACGGAGCCCGTCCCTCTCAGAGCCCGCTTCCCCCAGGAGTCCCCAGATGCCTGTCCAAGACCCCCAGTGGCCCGGACTGTCCTACCTCCCGAGCTTCGGGGGACCTGCCAGGCCGGCTGGACGTCCCCCAGCAGCCGAGCGTCAGTCACTGCCTCGCGAGGCGCCGCTGCGAGCGGGCTCCAGTTCCGCGTCCGCACCGGGGGGCGCGTACCACTCGGAGCCGGTGCGGAAGGGGGAAGCTGAGGGGGGCTGGGGCTGTACCATTCGCCCCGGGGGCAGGGCTGCACCAAGCCGACCGCTGAAAGGTGGAGCCGACTTCGGAAGAAAGGAGGCTACGCACACACCTATCCGTGTGCGAGTGGGAAGGGATGGGAAGCGCTGGGCCAGCCCAGCGCCGCTGCGTGTTAAGGGGAGGATCCAAAGGAATACCTTTTGTTTAGGTTGCTCAAATAGATTTTAATTAGGCATTGTCATAGAGCCCATTTCAAGGAAATGTTCATTGACCTGAAAGTGACTTCTCAAGATAAACTGCTCCTGAGACTTCCTGACCGTCTCCCCGCACCTCACCTTGCTACCCCCATTCGCGTTTTGGAAGGGTCCGGCCGCCTGAGCTGGAAAGCTGGCTACCCAGCCGGTGGAGTCTACCAATTCCGGGTGGCGGGGGGACTTGAGGCTGGAAGGCGCGGCCGCGGTATCACCTACACCATGCACGCACGGAAGGGGGCATGAACGGTGCCGCGGTGCCTGCTGGGAAATGGAGTCCGGTCCTTTTGAACGCTCAAACACAACCCTAGGCAGCCTTCCCAGGCCCCAAGGGACTTTTCTTCCCGTCCCACAGATCCCTGGGGGCTGAAAGGAGGGGATACCTGGCCATGGGTCTTTCAGGTTGCGTCCTTTATATCAGATGCCAAGGGAAAAACTAAGGCTTTAGACACATATGCGTGAAAGGTGATTGGCTGTTAAATACAGCTCCTCTTACCCCCACAGAAAGACCACTCGCTCCCACCTGCATTACTATTATTGGGGAGAGAGTATCTAAGCCTCAGCATTTCATTCACTCATATGGCATAATTGGGGCTAGTAAAAGAAGGTCCCCCTCACTGCCAAGATTGTTACTTGTGACATGCCTCCCTCCTCTAAGTCTGGAGGCTGATCCTAAAGGATGCAGGCTTTCTCCTCCACTGCTGTAAGCCCAATTCAGAAATTGTTTTCTCTTGCTCTGTAGCTTCTTGATCACCCTCCAACAAACAGGGTGGGACCTATCAGCGAGGCCACCCTGAGGTATTTATGGCCAAGCCACAGAGTGACATTGGAGAATTTCTTTTGGGGCCCTGTGGGGAAAAACAGGAAGTGGTGGAGGCAGGGCCCTGGAGAACTCTGTGCAAAATGGCCCCAGGTTCATCCATTTGGTTGGGTCAGTAGGTCTTCAGATGGAGCACAGCTTTAGCAGCCCCCCCCCACTGCCCAGCAGCCACAAAACTCCCAACCCTTTGACTCTCCTTTAATGCTACATGAGGATCTCCTTCGCCCAACACCCAGGAATGTTTGCCCTTCTCAATCTGTTCCACTTCCAGGAGGCAGCCAAGGGGCCTCAGCTGTGCTGCCCAGAACTCAGGAGACATGGGGAAGAACAGTCATTCATGCACATCCCAGATCTCAGAGAGCAGTGGTGGAAGCTTTTTGTCCTGCAGGCGCAGCGCAAACACTTGCTCTGAGTGGACACTGCTCAGAGTTCGGAGGCTCACCAGTTTCATTAACATACGTGGGAACATTAGTCGGTCCTGGGGGAAGGAGAGGGACAAGCTAAGCCTTTGTTTCTCCCCAGGAAAAGGGACAAAAGCAAGGGAGTTGTGGAAGAGGTAGAGAACTGTCTGTGCTAGATGTAGGCAGAGGGATTCTTGAGGGGAAAATAGATGTGTCAGGGAATAGGCATGGAGCAGAGGAAAAAGGCACCTGGGGAGACTCACATGGGGGTGGTGGATGGAGACGTAAGCATGCAGGGCCTCCACATATGTGTGTTGCAGCCTCTCTACTTGGAGCTGGTCCTGCACATTGGGCCGGTCTATAGGTCACCAACAGAGTTTAGGAACAGGTCTGGCCAGGGCCTCAGTCCCCTACCCCAGATCACTGCCCCAAAATAGGGATGTGTCCCACAACCTCACCCATCCCCAAATCACAGCAAAGGGCTCCACCCGCACAATCCTGTCCTGTAGGTCCTGCAGTCCTCTGGGGTGCAAGTCTTACTGTGTTTCCCGCCTGCCCCTCCACACACCTGCAGAGAATATGCTGATGGCAATGAGCAAAGCAAACTCAGCATCATTGAGTTGTAGCTCGTTCATGGCTCTGGAGAACTCAAAGATGGGGTTGATGAACTCCACCTGCAGCCCTGGGGAGGAAGAAGGGAGGCTAAAATGTGTGGCAGGAGCAGCAGGAACTTCCTTCTTTCCTCCAGTGCCTTATCTTGGAACAACCAGGAACTCACTAAAATGTCTCCAGGGTTCTGCTGTGTAAGGCAAATTTCTTAACCTAAGTCTCCTCTGTGAAATGGGAGTCCATAGCTGAATCTATGAGGTTGTGATGGTTAAATGTGAAACCATGATGCACTTAGCACGGCAGATAGGAGGTTTTGAATTAATAACAATTCTGCTATTAATTTTTTTTTTGCAGTACCCTGGTGCTAGATCAGGAGTGTCCTACCACTGAGCTACATCTCCAGTCCTTAATAATTTTTTTTAAAGAATTTTTTTTAATATTTATTTTTTAGTTCTCGGCGGACACAACATCTTTGTTGGTATGTGGTGCTGAGGATCGAACCCGGGCCGCACGCATGCCAGGCGAGCGTGCTACCGCCTGAGCCACATCCCCAGCCCCTGGTACTTAATAATTTTTCAGAAAAGTTCTTGCTAAAGTACAGAGGCTGGCCTCAAACTTGTGATCCTCCTGTTTCAGCCTCCCGAGTTGCTGGTATTACAGGTCTGTGCTACTACACATGGCTTGAAAAGATATTTTTATCTTCCTTTTTAACCAAAGGAAGAGATGCTTCTATTTCTAGATACACAGGGCTCTCAAAAATTCTAATAACAAGCCAAGCGAGATAGTGCCTCCCTATATCCCAGCAATTCAGGAGGCTGAGGCAGTATTGCAAGCTGGAAGCTAGCCTCAGCAACTTAGCAAGACCTTGGTGGGGATATGGCTAAGTGGTAGAGCACCCCTGGGTTCAAACCTCAGTACCACAAAAAAAAAAAAAAAAGGAAGAAAGAAAGAAAAAAGAATTTATGATCTTTCTGAGTACAGCAACTCAACAGGTCAAGGCAGGAGATTTCAAACTTGAGACCATCCTCTGCAATTTAGCAAGATCCTGTCTTAAAAGAAAAGAAAAGCAGGCTGGAGGTGTAACTTGGGGTAAAGTGCCCCTGGATTCAATCCCTAGTACCCACAGCGGGGAAAAGATTTTTTGCTGACAAATGATCTTATCTGAATATGAGGCATACATTTATTTATATATATATATATATATATACACACATACACATACACATACATATATATACATACATATATACATATATATATATATTATTTTAGTTGTAGATGGACACAATATCTTTATTTATTTATTTTTATGTGGTGCTGAGGGATCACATATGCAAGGCAGGTGCTCTACCACTGAGCTATAGCCCCAGCCCGAGGCATACATTTCATATAGCACATCCCAGAGGGAACACAGCAGTGTGGTTAAGGGTGTGGACTTTGGTGCCAGATTGCCAAGATTTCAGTCCTAGCTTTACCATTACTAGGTTGTGTGATCTTGAATAAATTTTTTGTTTGTTTGTTTTTGGGGGTTTTTTGTTTTGTTTTTTTATTTTTTTAGTTATAGATGGACACAATACCTTTATTTATTTATTTTTTTTTATGTGGTGCTGAGGATCAAACCCAGGGCCTCACAGATGCTAGGCAAGCACTCTACAACTGAGCCACAACCCCAATTCCTTGGGTAAGTTGTTATGTCTCTCTGGGCCTTGGTTTTCCTATCTGTAATATAGATGATAACATTACCTGCTTCATAAAGTCCTTAGAATATAAGTGACATAGATGTAACTACCATGTAAATGTAAGTTGGAATTTTTAAAAATTTTATCTTAATGGAACCAGTCTTCTTAAAGAGAAAAAAACTAAAACATGACAAACTGTGACCTAAAGCCACTACACTTAGTGGACACTTCTCCCACACACATTTTCAAAGTCTTTGCACCCACACTGTTCTCTAGGCTTTCTCAGATTTCTTTTAGCAACCATCTGCTACACTTTTCCATTGGGAGGCTTCTTGATTAGTCACTTCCTGTACTTTCACCCTGATGTTTATCAAATGCTGTGTTGATCCATTTAATGGGCAAACCCTATTTTATAAAGCATTTCTTGGTGAGGTTTTAAGCCCCCAAGTGTGCCCCAAAGCCCCTCTAAACTAGATGAACAGCTCACATAGGATCAGTCCACATCCTTAGTTTTCTATCATGGGCAGCATATGGTTGGAGATGCAGAGGAGGAAGGAGACCTAACATAATAGAGGCCCTGAAGGAAGAAAACAACAAGTAACAAAGGAAAAAAAAAACAACTACAACAACAAATAAAAAATAAATAAAAAAAGAACCCCTAGTTCCTTCTAAAACCTCACTTCTGATGAAATGAGAAATCAAAAGCCAACTTGATGACATCAGAATGGCTTATATAAAGAAATCTATAAATAGGTATAGATTCAGATAGCTCAAGTCAAGGGCTGAAGGGACACAGAGATATTAAAACTGGAAAGGGTTCAGGAAGGAGGGTGTTCTAAAGGAGAAGACTAAGAGGCCTGGGATAAAAACAATTTGGAGAAAAAGATGGTAGAGAAAACAGGCTTTACAGCTAGATAAAGACCTCTAATCACCCCAATCAGGTGCCTGTATATTCCAGTGATATACAGAAGGCAATAGGGGCAACACAGCCCAGCCCTGCCCTACAGTTAAGGGAGGCCTTCCTAGAAAGTTCACTGGGTGGCCCATGTTGAGATAAGAGACACATGAGGTGTCCTGAGTCACCAGAAACCAGGGAAGGACTTATGAATTTTGGCATAGAAACCAGGATCTCCCAACCCTGAGAATGGAGTCATAGCATCAGCCATATGTTACAGACCTGCTCTTTGTTGTTAAGCTACTTGGTCTCCTACTAAGCCCCAATTCCAGTTCCTCCAACATTTCCTCGGTGGTCTTCCATCTTTTCCCAACCCTGCTTCCCCACACAAACATTACCAGTAGCTAAAAATGAAGAAAACCCCTGCTTAACACTAAGCCAGCATCAGACAGAAAGCAGCAATGAGAACTAATTTTTTTTTTCTTTTTCCTGCAATAATGTGGATTGAACCCAGGGACACTCTACCACTAAACCAAATCCCCAACTTTTTTTTTTTTTTTCGTAGTTGTAGTTGGATAGAATGCCTTTATTTTATTTGTTGATTTTTTTTTATGTGGTGCTGAGGATCGAACCCAGTGCCTCATACATGCTAGGCAAGTACTCTGCCACTGAGCTACAACCCCATCCCCTCCCTTTTTAAAAATTTTTTTTTTAGTTTTAGGTGGACACAACATTTTTATTTTATTTTTATGTGGCGCTGAGGATCGAACCCAGTGCCTCATGCATACTAGGTGAACACTATACCACTGAGCCACAACCCCAGCCCCCAAATCCCTAACTTTTTTTATTGTTTTTTAAGTTTTGAGACTGGGTCTTGCTAAGTTGCTGAGACTGGTCTCCAACCTAGTGATCCTCCTGCCTCTGCCTCCCAAGTCACTGGGATTACAGGTGGGCGCCACCAAAGGTAACAATATAAATCAATTCTTAGAGAAAACACTCCAGATACAAGATGAGGATAGAACTGTTTGCCTTTGTCCTACAACTGTGCCATCTGGGTATCTTTGTCATGTTTCAGCTCCAGTTCCGAGGGTCAGCAGAAAGAGCAATTGGAAACGAACAGGGGAGAGAGCCCAGCCATAAGAGCGTTCAGTGACATGACGTTTGCCTAGCATGTATGAGGGTCCTGGATTGACCCCAAGTACCAAAAAACAAAAAAGTTGGGGGCAGTCAGCCCACATGATCCTTAAAGAGCACATCTGAAAAGATCGGTTCATTTTTAACTACTAAAAGGCTAGGTTCAGCGGGGCATGGTGGCACATGCCTGTAATCCTAGCAGCTCAGGAGACTGAGGCAGGAAGATCATGAGTTCAAAGCCAGCTCAGCAACTTAGGGAGACCCTAAAGCAAGTTAGCAAAACCTTGTCTCAAAATAAAACATTAAAAAAAAAGGACTGGGAAGTGGCTCTGTGGATAAGTGCCTTTGGATTCAATCCCTAGTACAAAAAAAATAAAATAAAATAAAAGGCTATAAAGTCTTTTCTTCAAGGAAAATGTTATGAAGAACTATAATATCCAGTGTAGATTTAAATAGACCTTCTTATTTGGTTAAAGCAAAGATGAAGGACATTCTTCTGCCTCCCTGTATCTTCTCTAAGGTGACTTCCAGAACCCCTCAGGCTAATTGAAATACAGTTCCAAAACAACAGACCTAATGCAGCCGAGGACAGAGATCTATTTGGAGCAGTTGAAAGAGGCCTTTCAACATTCTAACTTTTCTCTCTTGGACAAACCATTGGCCTTCCCTTCACAACCACCCAAACCTCAGCCCAAGCTCTGAAATCACAATGGGCTCCGTGACAAACAACACCTGTCCATCCAGCTCAGTCCCTCTGTGATCTCAGCTCTCACCTGCTTTGGCAAAATCTTCCCGGTTATAACTGAAATCCTTGAGGAAGGTGATGCTCTCGCTCCCAGGGTTGTATCGCCGAGAAGTTTCCAGAAGCATCACCTGCACACAAGTAGCAGCCCCGCCAGAGAAAATGAGGGCTGATCTTGGGACACAGGCCTTTGAGGGACAGTTGAGTCTCCTTCTCCCTACTTCCCAGTGGATTGGGCTCTCCCTGCCAGATGCCTGCATGCCCCCCCACAGACAATGCCACACTGCTTCTCCCTCCATCCCTTGACCTGTCCAGCCACCTCAATTGCAGAAGTCTTCAGCAGGGCGATCTGGTCCTCTCTGCTGAGCTGTAGGAAGCCTGGGAGCTGTTTAGCAAAGTCTACGATCTCTTGCACAGACACGATGGCCAGCTCAGTGAAGTGGGCAAAGCGCTGCTGACGGGCCTCCCGGCTCTGGGGGTCTGGGGCCATGGGCCAAGGCTACCCAGGGGGGCAAGGAGAGAAAAGGCAAAGCACTTTGATTAGACATCCAGAAGCCAGCTGGTGCCCTGGCCACGTCTCCCCAGGCCCATCAAGTACCTTACCGTCACACGAAGTCGGTCTGAAAAAGAGCGCCTGTTACACTGTTGCTGGGCAGCGACCAGCTTCTCGATCATGCCCAGTTGCTCTGGACTGAGCTGGGGGAGCACTTGGGGAGGTGAGGGGGCCCTCGGGGGCACCGATGTGGCCTGAGCCTGTTCCTCTTCTTGCCGTTTCAGTTTCTTCAGGCGGATCTGTTCTTCTGAAAGGACACCTAAGGACAGGGCCAGACGTGAGGAGGGGAGAAGTGGGGTGACAGGAAGCAAGGATGGGGCACGGGGGGGTGGTTTGAGTCTCCAGAAAAGCAGACAGCATTGGGTAAAAGCCAGAAAGAGATTTGAATCTATCCTCATGGACTGGGTAGGAAGCCTCTGTAGGCATGGGCACCTTCCTGCCCTCACACCAGGGTGCCCTCTTTCCATCAGTGTCTCCCCAGCCTGCCCCCCACCACACTCACACTCTTCCCGCATGCCTGCCTGGCGGCATTTGCGAAGCCGACACTCCTGGCACTTGCGACGCATGTAGGTATCCATGGGGCAGTGGCCACCACTGTGGCAGACATAGCGAGCTCCTTTGATGACACTGCGGCGGAAGAATCCCTTGCAACCCTCGCAGCTCAGCACGTTGTAGTGGAAGCCAGAGGCCTTGTCTCCACATACACTGCACAGCTCGTTCCCCAGCATTTTGGGGGCTGGCCCTTTTTTCCGCTTTTGTGGACGGAGCTCTGGATACAAGGAAGAGCCTTAATATTCTTCCTGACTCAGTCACTGGGCACTCAGTGACCTTCATCCCCTTCATTGTATGAAGTCTAGTCTCCCTTTTTGGAGACAGGATTTTACTGTTTCCCCCACGGCCTCCAACTCCTGGGTCCCAGAGATCCTCCTGCCTCAGCCTCCAAGTAGCTGGGACTACAGGGGCCCCCAGAAGGAATAACTTAGACTATTTATCATAACAACAGTAGATCTCATTTGCCAGGGCCATTGTGTCCTAGGTACTGTATGAGCCCTTTATAAGTATTGATCCTTTAGATAACCATAATTATTAATCTCACTTTACAAATAATGAAAATGAAGTTCAGAAAGGCCTAAGGTATAAACAAATTCATACTTAGATCACTTGGACCTAGTTGATGCAAAGTCTTTAACCATAGTATTATAAAGAAAAGAGCCCCAAGGTGTCCCTCCCATATCCAGGGAGCCTGTACCTCCCCCAAATACAGAAGCTCCTCACCTGTGGTCTCTGGAAGGGACTCTGCCCTGGGGAATAGGGCTGTGGGTTCTGCTGACTCCAGCCCCATCCCCTCAGCAGATTGGGGCACCCTGGCTTCCTCCCTAAGGACGCAGCTGCGGCCTCCCCGAGCCTGGCTGCTTGCATCTTGAACATCTGGATCCCACAGCTCCACGGCAGAATCTGAACCAAAAGGAGAGGCACAGAGGGGTCCCGTGTCCCATCCCAGCTCCACTCCCTAACGTCCTAGCTGGGAAACTGCAAACCTATCTCCTCGGAGGGCAACCACACCCCAGCTCATGCTCTGTGACTCCAGGACCAGTCAATTGTAATCCATTGCACATCAAGACCTTAAACAAAGATGCTAATCTTTGGGACATCCATTTCAGAGATCAGACAGAACTCTCCAAAGCCAAAGCTGGGCAAGCAACAGAATGCCAACTCCCCCAGCCGCAAGCCCAGATTGAGGAGCACTGGGCAGGAGTTTACAAGGGCCAGAGGACCAGGTACCAGAATCAGGGCAGAGGTGGTCTGGAGAAGAGGCATGCAATACAAAGAATAGCTCTGGATTGCTCTCTGCAGGAAGGCAGAATGCAGGTAGCGAAGGAGGCTGATTCCTGAAAGAGGAGAGAAGCCACCAGAGGAGTTCTGGCTCAGGTGAGAGGAATGGATTAAAGAAGCTTACCAGGAGAAACATCAGGCACAGGGGCCTCCAGCCACAAGGACATCTCTTCCTGGAGCCCTGGACATTACCAAGACACTGTCCTGCAGGAACGACCAGGGTTATATTCTTTTTTCAGTACTAGGAATCAAACCCAGGGTCTCATACCTGCCAAGCAAGTGCTCTGCCACTGAGCTACCCCCTGACCAACAGGATTTTTTAAAACCCACTTTGCAGATGCAGAAACTGAGGTTCAAAAAGATTAAGTAATTGCCTACAGTCACACTTTTAGATGGTGTAGAGCCAAGACAGTAGCCCAACCTGACTCCAAAGTCTAAGCTCTTGACCACCATGCCACCTTTCTCTCCCTAGTTCTCCTTTGGGCCATCAGGGAATGTCTGTCAGAGCCCTTGCCCCCTCACTCTAGTTTTAGGAGAGCCAAAGTTAGGTAGCGATAAGAGATGGGATCAAGGCTCACTCCCTGAAGACAAGCACCTTGTCAGAAAATCTCACTCCCACTGCTTTCTGGGATCTGGAGCAAGGCTCCTCTGCTCCAAAGTCTCCCTAACTCACACCACGACCTCCTCCCCAGCTCCCCTCAGGAGTCCTGCCACCTAACAGAACCCTGTCCCTGCCCCAAGCCCCCACCACCTTCACCCCGCTCTTTCCCCAAGAGACCCTTTTTAAGGTCCTTAGAACAACCCCCCACCCGACCCTAGACACGCAGCACCCCCAGGCCACTGCTGAGAAGACCCACCGAATCCCCAGGCCACCAGACTTCCTGGCTGCAGTCTCTGGAGCCCCCTTGCTGGGAGAGGAGGATGGTGCAGTCCCCTGTCCCGAGGCTGCGCGGCCAGCCGGCGACTGGAGCTGAGCTGAGGGACCCGGAGCCCCGGGGAAGTAGTACTGTGGGGAAAGACTGAGGGAGGAACTGACAAGGGTCGGGCCACCTCTCCTCCCGCCGACCAAACGGAGCCTGGCCTCCTCGCCCCCGCCCACGGGGTAGCTTCCCCACAGGCCGACTCCTCCCCGGCCAGCCACCCCCTCGGCCGGCGCCACCCCACCCGGCCCCTACCCTCAACCGAGACAGTCGCATTTCCCCACAGACCGGCCCGGTTCCATGTCTCTCCCCTTCCTCTGTCCACCCTGGAGGCTCTTTGCTCTTACTGAAGGACTGCTTCCCAGGCACCCCCACCCCAATCCCGGCAGCCTCCAGAGTCAGCGTTCCCTCCCCTCCATAGACACCTCGCGGAGCAAAGGTCTCGGCTCGGCCCAGAATTGCGACACCCAGCCCCAGCCTGCGATCGCAGCCTCCCTCCTCCTCCCCTGCCTCTGGGAAGGGGCCAAGCTCTCCCCACTAGCTCCAGGACAGAGCCAAGCTGGTAGAACTCCAAGGGTGGAGAGACGCAGGTGCTGGGCCTTCCAGGGAGTCTGTCTGTGGGTGCCCTTCGGGTCGGGGTGGGAGGACAAAGGGGAGAAAGCCAGGAGAGAGGGGCTGGTAGGAAGTCAGCCCTGAACAACCGCAGACCTGGGACAGTGGTAGGGGTAGCAGATGACAGCAACACAGGGAGCCTAGGTTGGACCCAGGAAGGCATGAAGTTGCCTCATCCTGGGGATGCTCCTACTGAGGTGGTGGCAGGCTCCATTGAGCCTCACAGCATAGCTTTCCTGCCTGGGACACAGATCCACCCCTGAAGGAAGACACCGTGTTTCACTGATTCTCTCTCTCCCATAATCCCTGATACAGGAGCTGGCATAGAGGAGACAACAGAGTAGGTACTGTGTTCTTGTTTGATAAATGGATAAGAAGAAAAATATGATCTTCCTTATCCCATACTTTTTGGCTCAATTTCAACTAGGCATTTGGGGTCTGGGATGAGTCTGGGTTCAAATCCTCATCCTGCCTCCCTTTAGCTGTGATTCCCCCCACCAGGTGCTGGGGATCCGACTCCATGTATCCCATTTAGGCAAACTCTCTACCACTGACCTACACCCCCAGCACAGATGTGTGATCTTGATTAAGCAAGTTACTTATGTCTGTGAACCTCTTTGGGTCTTTAGGATGGAGGGCTGGGGATGTGGCTCAAGCGGTAGCACCGCTCGCCTGGCATGCATGCGGCCCAGGTTCCATCCTCAGCACCACATACAAACAAAGATGTTGTGTCTGGCGAAAACTAAAAAAGAATACATAAATATTAAAATTTAAAGAAAAAATAAATAGAATGGAGATAACAGTTTTGCCATGTATACATGTTCAAGCAGATAGTATCAGAGCAAATACTAAGTATTCAAGAACTGGCAGTGTTAATCTTTACCACTCCAATCCTTTCAGATATAGGTCTTCCTATCCACATGAAGCTATACATCACTTTCCGAGTCCTTGTTTCTATATACAAGTCCCTCACCATCTTGTTCAGTCCTTAGAGCACTGCCAGGAGGGAGGGAGGGTAAATCAACTCCATTTTACAGGGAACACTGAAGCTCACATGAAGGCCTCGCAAGACCACACACAGCGGCTGATCTGGGATCAGAATCCAGATGTTCCCACTCCAGTCCCTGTGCTCTTTTTGTCTTGGCATCAGAGTACAGGACGTTCTTGTCTTGTTGCCTCTCAGGTCTGATGAGCCAGTGAAGTGAGAGGGAAGGAGCCAGGGCTGGTGGGCTGCAGGGAGAGGCCCAGAGCACTGCAGATGCTTTAGCTCGGATGTGCGAGGCAGGAGCTGAGGTTACTCTTGGTTGTTCACCCCCTGACCCATTCCCAGTTTCCTGCTCAAGGCTCTTCCTGTTTTGCTGTGAACTTCAGTTCCCATGGGCCTACATTAAAGCAGAGGACAGGGGCCAGGGCAAGCTGCCAGAGGGACTGAAGCAGACATGAACAGGGCACCAGGGAAGAGGAGAACAGAGGAACAGGGAAAGAGTGGACACAGGGGGTGGGGGAGGACAGTAGGAACAGGAAGGGAGAAGGATGGGAAAGCTGAACAAGAAAGGGGGTTTGGTGAAAGATGGGAGGAAGCACAGGGTAGGGCAGGGGAACAGGCGGGGGCAGGGACACATGTGAGAAGATAGCAGGCGGGGTTGGGGGTGTTGCAAAATCTGCCTGTGTATTCATTTTAAAAAAGCCCCTCTGACAGCCCCCAACTTCTGCCTCCAGCTTTTGCTCTTGTTCCCTCTCATCACAAGGTTATCCCCTCACAAGGTCCCCACCCTACTCTGGGCATTTCTGAGTCATGAGCACAAGGCTCTCTGTTCCTCTCCTGTGTTCCTGCTCTGATTTTCACAAAGCCCCCTGCTGTCCTGGGACAGGAGAAACCAGGGCACCAGCCGCTGGGGCACTGGAGCTGTTCTGTCCCATCACCCATCCAGAGCCTCCCTGCCAAGCTCCAGTGTAGCAGCATGGTCAGAGCTGTCCTGGAGACACCTGGTTTCAAGGAACTGGGGATATAACATGGTCTGGAGCCTGGTGACACATTTTCCAGGAATTAAGAAAAGCTACCTTCATCCATTCCTGATCCTCAACTTCTACTGACACTCTAGTGTCCCTACAGGTGGCTTCCCAGGACCCAGAGCATACACAAGCCCCAGCTAGAGGCCTCTTGCCCAAAGTAGAGCCAGTAGATCACAGCAACCTCTCCCCTAAGGCAGGGAGTCAGCTCAGCCTGGTCTCCTCTAGGGGAGAAAGCATTTGCTAGCACTTCACTGCCAGAGCTATCCCTTCAGGTTACAAGGTTAAGGAGTTCCCTACAACAAGGGAAAGGGAAAGGAAATGGGAGAAGACCAAAACCTGTTGGCACTCTTTCCACAGGATGCTATCTTCCTGAGACCAGTCCCTGGGACTTCAGCCCCAAGCCAGGGCAAGCAGTCAGGTGATCCACAGCTAGAATCCCATGTTCTGCTTTGCCAGCCCCTCTTCATGACACAGTCCCTTCAGCCCACAGGCTTAGGTCCAAGCACCCCAGGCCTAGAGTCCCTTCCTGTCTCCTTGGCTCCTGCAGGAGGCAGCATTCCTAGGAACATACTTGGGAACCTCCTAAGTCACATTTCTGACCCCCCAAACCCCCAGAGGCTTCTTCCAGCAGCAAAGGGAACATAGAAGCAGAAATAGGAGCATTCTCCAGTCCCTGATCACATGCACTACTGGATAACTACCCCAAAGGCACTTATTCCCACGGAGTAGGCCACAAGATTGGGGTTGTAGAAGGGACTGGGGCAACTGCTTCTTGCTCCTTCCTTCACTGTTCTGGAAGGGTAGAAAGGGTGGGGATATCTTTCAGACCACCAAGTATCTACTCAAGTGACTTCTGCCCAACCTCCCAATGACAAGATAGAAGAAGTCAGGAATAAATTCTAAGATCTATAAATTTTAGAGATGACACAGAGGGCAGAAAATGAAGAAGAACAATAACATTTACTTAGTCTCATGTACACAATTTATCTTTACATGCAATGTTTCATTTATTCTCACAATAAATATAAAAAGACAGTTACCAGCAAAGCACAGAGCACCAAATTTGAATACAAGTAAAGCTGACCCAAAAGCTCAAGCTCACATTCAAATTAAAACAAAACATAGCTGGGCACAGTGGTGCACCCCTGTATTCCCAGGAATTTGGAGGACTGAGGCAAGGAGATCAAAAGTTCAAGGCCAACCTCAGCTACTTAGCTAGACTAACCCAAGATAAAAAATAAAAGGGCTGGGGATGTAGCTCAGTGGTAGAGCATCCCTGGTGAAATCCCCAGTACCACAAGATGATGATGATGATAAAAAACAAAACAAAACAAAACAACAAAAAAAAACAACACTTTACTCTATTACACAAAGCAGCCTCTCCAGATGGGAAAAAAAAAAAAAAACCATAGTTAACTCACCCGGATTTAGGTTTGCTTCTGCCAACACAGAGTAGAACAATGATTTCCAAACCTGGTCTTATCATGCTTCAGAGCATGATTTTAGTCTAGGGTACGTCCATATATCCATCTATCTATTCATATACATGTCTCTCTCTCTCTTTTTAATCTGTAGTTAGGAACCAAGGTGTGAAGAACAAAGAATCATCTGGTAAAAAATATGCAAAAGCTGGGGAATCAGGAAATCAAGGCTGTGCTCTAGGTTCTACCATCTCCTTCTACTCCCCACCCTTCCTGGAATCATTTCTCACTATAAAAATTAAAATAACATCTGCTTCATCAATCCCTCCTACATGGGATATTGTAAGCACCAAGGATATAGACATTTGAGCAAGTGGGAGGAAAAGCAAAAGATGGGTTTCGGCAATTTTTTGTTCTACTTGCTAAATTTTGGTGATCTGCAGATCTAGCTGGATGCAGTGGCACACAGTTGTAATCACTTATTTGGAAGACTGAGGCAAGAGGATTGAAAATTTGAGGACACCTGGGCAACTTTATGAGAACCTGCCTCAAAATTTAAAAAGGGCTGGGGTGAAGCTCAGTGGTATAAGGCCTCTGGGTTCAATTCCCTGTGCTGAAAAAAATTAAACAAAATAAAAAAGAAATAAAAGGGGCTGGTAGTGTACCCTTGGGTTCAATCTCCAGTACGCAATAAATAAAATAAAACAAATAAATCAAAATAAAAATCTAAAAAGCCTAATATTTATGCAGCATTTTGCCAGTTAGTCATGACCCACTTAATTCCACTAAAGAGAAAAAGTTTCTTTTAATAGAAATCTCTTTATTAAAGGTACTCTGGAGCTACCAAATATAGTTTAGCAAAGCATTTTGAGTAGCCTGCACGTAGTATGCAGCCTGTAAGAAACAGTCGATTACAAAGACTATTTAGCTGGGAAGAGAAAATTGAATTTGAGTCCATGCTTCTGAACCATGTCACTTGCCTCTCTAGTTTTTTCCTAATTTGTAAAATAAGAGGATTAGGTTAGATCAGGGATTCAGAGATGCTGGTTTATAAAGCTATGAAGTGTCTTTGTGAAACTCTTGAGATTATAAGCAAAATTCTAATGTATGTTTATATGTGTGAACATTTTTATGGAAGGCAGAGGGCTAAATTTTCATCCAATTCATAAAGGGGCTTGTGACTGAAAAGGTTAAGAGCTATTTGCCTACCTAACCTTCTTATTCTATTTACTCCTCAGCCTCCTTCATGACGTTTCTTGAAGTAAAGTTTAGATCAGTGTGTGTGTGTGTGTGTGTGTGTGTGTTTTGAATCTGGGGTCTTAGAGCAAGATAATAACAGTTCTGATCAGTTTTATTTGTCAATGATGAGGTGAAGTTGCGTCTAATGGGCAGATCTGAATCAAAGCATCCCAAGGGTCTATGATCTGTCCCTCAAAACTGTGTCACTCCAAGCTCAGAGTCACAACAAAGTCCTAAGGCCAGAGTGGCGGCACCTGAATCCTAAGAGACAAAGCCAAGAGGGTCTCTGATTCTGCAGAAATCCCACCTACTTTTACTCTATATTATGTGCCTGCCCCAAAAATCTCTCTCCAAAGGTCTGAAATTCTCCTTTATGGATTCATTGGTTTGGGTTTGGAAAGTCTGAGCATCCCGTGCAACCCAACTCCTTTGGGAAGAAGTATGACGTCTTGACTCTAAACTGAAACTTGTAAGTAAACTAGAGGAAAGACAGGGAAAGCACTGGAAAAAGCAAGTGAGAGGGCTTCTGAAGCTTTGCTCCGGGCAGGCATGAACAGTAGACTCAAGGGCACAGGGAGTCCAAAGGGCTGTTTACACGTTTTGCCCTGCACCTCTCCCGGGAAATGCGGACCGAGCCAAGGCTCAAACTCCACCCGAAGGCCAGGGGCGTGGTGAGGGACGCCCCATATTTCCCTACCCTTCGCTCCAATTCAGCACTCTCGGGCTCTGGGATCAGGACCAGCTGCACCCGGCCTGAGGGGGCGCTCGCTCTCCAGGCCACGGCCCCGCCCAGGGCAAGTGCCACTTTAGTACGGGAAGGGGCAGCCCTGACCCCGTGTGCTCTTTACCAAGACTAGGTCTTCAAGTCCTTTTGCCGCGCAATGTCGCCCTACATTCCTACGTGTGTCCCCCACTGCCAGATGGCGAAACTCCTCTACGTATTCCCTTCCAAATTCT